TAGTATGCAATTACTTACTACCACAGTGCACACGTTATACACATACCTTAATGTATGGTCGGTCCTTGTTGGTCGCCAACAGCGATCTAAGTGCGCTTCGATCATTCTCTGCATGCATTTCTCTTGTTCTGAATAAGGATTCGAAAAGTAAGAAAAGCTCTATCAAACTGAGTGGCATATATGTTGTGTGGAAAGATGTGACCATGTAGAAATAGTCAGCTTGATTGACAACAATTCTGAATGCTATTCGGCTGTCAAGAAGAAGAGAGCAGCCTGAGAAATTCATATTAATCAAAAGGAATCCATCATTAGAATCAAACGCATATTTGTGGTACCACCATAGATTAAGGATGTGTTGCGAACTTTTCAACGTACAGAGATGCATAAAAATGTAAGCGCTGTGATTTTAACACAGAATTGAGCCTAAAATTACAAAGCTGACGACATAGCTGAACACACTTCCTTTGATATCGGGAACATCAGTTCATAGAATTAATAAACAAATTGTCTTTTATCCATCCATTTCAGCCTACATTTTCCATCGATTGGGAAGGTGAAGTGAAACCAGCAAGCACAGCTGACTGACAGTTTCGCCCTACCAAATTGGCAAGCATGGTATTTACAAGTCGAGAAGATTTCCGAATGTTACCATGAAATACAAAAAGTTTCCATTTTCCATCATCCATAACCAGGTCAGCTTCTTTCAAACTTATATTTGGACTACAGCGTATTCAACAATGCTAATGGTTTGATTTCATATCATATCATAGATGTCGCAAAAATATACCGATAGAAACATGTTCATATATTTTGATCAGCTTCACTTATCACAGTTATATCCATTATGCTCATTGAGTCTTGAGGTTTCTGACATATTTATTTCGCTTGAAATAACTCCTGCCTTTGCATGTTTCAATTACACTGAGTTATTTGTTTAACGTCTACGATCAAGTCCTATTCTGAAAGGTATGCCACGCATTCAAACTAAGTAAGACATATAAATTCTAATTTAACCTATATCATTCTCTGTTTGAACTGAAGCATCGCAACTCTACAAAGATGAAATCATAAACAAATATTCACTCTGAGTAAAAACATCACAACTAATTGTGACCGAAATTGCTTCGATGTATACTTTGGTTACTGCAAGATAAAGAACAGGTGATATGTGGATAGGCCAACTTCAGTCATTCTAAATTAATTTGACGGCAAAGTCACTAGTAGCGATTTCATTCAAACAAGTAGATGACTTGCTGAAACTGCATACAAATCTATCAAATATTTAGACGTGATGGCGTCAAAAATTAGGACGTTTATTTTCCTATTTCTCAAGTCAATTGCTTTTCTCTCGAGAATAAGAAAACTTATCGACTGCTCCTCTTCGTTCAATCAACCACACCTGCGACTCAAATGACCATATTTAACAGTTATCTGGAAATGGTTATCACTATCACAAAAAATATGAATTAATTCCGCAAATCAAAAATGAACAGTAACCGGAGATGAAGAGTATGAGTGGGTGGTGTACAAATAATTGTAATTATTAAGCAGAGCGAAAACACAGAAGATGGTCAAAAGGCAATGACTATGCCTTTATTACAAGTCACATGTTGCATGACGCAGCTTGCAATTGGTGTCGCATAAGATTAATCAATTAGGGGAACATTAATGTTAGTGATTATATAATGGTCGGTACACTTCTAACAAACTATTCTCATTCATTAACAGCTCAATATATTCAATTTGAGATATTCTGCCCAAGCAACAGCAACAACTATCTCAAAAAGCGAACCAGGAACTAATTGAGTCACAAAAATACAGTACATAATTAATGTAGATTGGTCATGCTCTGAGTAAACCACCAAGCAACATCATATGACACACTCTCAAGTGGTTTTCAAATAAAAGCATAGCGCTAGTCCTTCAAAGGTGACATGGATGAGGTCACGCGAGGACGAGTTGAACGCTTGTGGACTGACGACGAGACGGATGTAAACGTCAACGGAGAACCAAACGCAATCAAAACAATAATAATGACTTCTTATTTACTGAGCCCTTCCAGGATTAACCTGTTTTCATAAAGTTCACTCCACAATAAGAAGCAAAAGAAACAAGCCAAGGAAACTGATATGAACTTTGCTGAAATGAAGTTTCCATGGCCTTCTTTGTTCGTCTCCGCGTTTCTCAACGTAAGTCGGGTAACAGTGACTGAGAACAGCACAAATAGATTTGTGAAACCACATTTTTGTACTGTACAGGCGACAGCGAGGATCTCATTCGTTTATTCATACCAAAAACTCGAGTTGCGTATAATGTGTAAAACAATATACCTTTAAACTAAGTCAGACAGTAACAAAGTATAGACAGGAAACGAGTTAAATTCTTTGAGCTGGTAACGTACATTTATCTTACATATACATATATCTTCATGTCAAATCTAGTTTAATATAGCAAAAATATTCATTCAGATATCTATAAAACACAACATAATCGAGCAAAGAATATTCTTTTCGATAAATTCCTCTTCTAGCTCTACAATTATATACATGTTTATATACACAGAATATTCAAGGTTGGTAGTTAATAACAATATTAGTGTTTTTTAAATAATATCGATTTGTAAAGCAAGATCAATGCAATTACAGTTCACTAAAAATACTTAAATTATAATAGTAATAAACATATAATAGCGAGTAGGATATCAACTAAAATTAGGAAATTTTCAGAAAATTGAGAATCATTCAAACCTAGATGGCCAAGGTAGGGACAGCGTCTGAACTAACCTATTTTGGACGCAAATATTAGGATTTTTAATGTGGATCCCAACAGCCTCAGCAATATTTAGTAATCGAACTCTTAAGGCGAAGTTGAGATTTGTTGGTATCCGATAAATAACTCTGAAAGCTTGATTAACATCAATCCTGTTTTATTCATATTTATGTACTGAAGTGTGTCGTCAATTCGTATGATTCGCTTTGATAAATTTCTATTGTGTTTAGTGTCAACTGACTTTTCTAGGGAAGCTAGTAAACAGCATCACGGTGGATGTCGACCTGCACTGAGACGAACACTGCACCGTTCACATCGTACTACTGTCGGTGGCACAGTGGTCAGGACATTCGCCGACCATGCACATGATGCGAGGTTCGAGCCCACGCCGACGCACACCTGATATCTATGGTTGGCCTGCGAATTTTGCGCTTCCGATATCCACGCTGAAAATTCCATACTTGTATCAAAAATACGGTGTGGAATCAAGCTGTAATCATAAAAAAATAAGTTCTTGTCATAATCAATAAATTTAACCGTTCTCCACCCCACAAGATCATATATCTGCAATGTCTCTTATCCTTTTATACTTATCAGAAAATTTTCATAATCAAGCCAGACAAAATGTTGCCTCGAACGCTTTATGGTAGCAGTCGGATCTCACAAAACGGTTTCACATTATTCATACAAGATCGGCCTTTTTCAAAAAGCAAATGTGGTGGTGGTCAGTTGGCAACAAGGTTTCATATTAAAGTTACTCTGCTGCCTGCCTCTCAGATCTGTCAAAGTTTGCGAATAAATTCACTGATTTCACAATTTCCTATCTTGGGAGCTTCTCTCAAAAGCAACTGGCTACTTGGATTCTGGTGACTGTTCCCCCTTTGAATCAGTGGTTCACGTGAGCACTGTCAGAGTTTCCACACTACTCGACAAAACACCTGATTCTGTGCACACTCAATATGCTGGAATATATGAAGAGCAGATAGTTACTTCTCATAAAATCAAAAAGCATTTCAAGTAATATTACATGACCGATTCTTCATTACAGTTAAAATAGCTGAACATCTTGTCCCTAATGCTGCAAGATAAGTCATTGAGCTATTGAAAATGATCTACAGGTTGATACATTTCAGTCGTTGCACCTCACGCCTTGCTGACTGAAGGCTATCAGATCAAAATACGAGTTGCTCCCAATTACATGAATATTCGTCCGATAATCCATGTCGGTAAGGAGTATTATATAATCAGTCTAGTAGAGAATTATTTCTTCACTAGCAACTAACCACTTACGACTACCCGGGTAGTATAAGAATGAATTCCACAAGTAAAAGCAGTTTTATTAGGCGAAGTGCGTGTCAATTATGTTTAACAGAATGCAGAAGTATAGTCATTCACCTCTTATATTTGAGAACAGCTTAGCAGCATGACTGCTACTCTCGAAAATCATATTTGCATGAACAGTGAACGCGATGAGGAAATTAGAAAAGTTTGAGATTGGGAAGTTGACTTATTTAAAGTATACAGAGGCTGAACTGAAGTCTCAAACATATGTAAATAGTTCATGTTTCAAGTTAATGCGTACATAGATTATTGTATGACATTGATAGATATGCATAACAGTGGACGAGAAGCATATTTCATAATGAAGGAATTGCAATGGTGGATGAGGACAAAGTGTTCAACCGAAGAGTTCTTCTCACAAAAGCAAAAATTGTGATTACATGAATCAATAAATGGCAAAACGATAACCAGGCAACACCAGATCTCCTCCGAACAACACTTACTAACTATGTCAAATGAATGACTGACCAAGTGAGACACACAGAAAAAATTCAGAAGGTGGAAGAATACAAGTAGTTGTTAAATAATAATACAATATACAGTGAAGTAAAGAAATGTGTCCAGAGTTAGGTGAAATGTGAAGGAGAAATACTGCTGGAAGAAATTATTATTACCTCGCCTGAATGTGTGAGTTCACGCCAAGAGCATGAATTCATATATTGCTAATTGTTTACATGACAGATTTCGCCTAGAGAAATGTTGTCGCAGAATACCACTAATATATATTGTTATTTACTGTTTGCTACTAAAAGGTATCAAGAGGATATGAGATATCTGAAGTGAAATAAAAATATTCGTGTTACAGAGAGATGTAGGAAAAATTAGAAGGACTATAAGGCATTTCAGGAATTCGCATTATGACGTTTCGGAGTAGACAACTGGACTATTATATATATTTATATGGTGGAATTACCATGGATTTATTATAATTACTTTTTGTTTTACGATTGAAAATTCTATTTTAACTGAAAGTTAATCAGTATAAACCAGCAGACACAAGAACTAACACAGTATGCTTGCCGACGGGGAATACGTCGATGGATCATGGTTGTTATCAGTACACATAGATGATTTGAATATTGATCGTCAAATTCGTGTACACGGTGAATGGTCTATCGGTGAGTTGTTAGTTCAGTTAACTGAAGGCCTAACATGTCCACTGCCTAAAACATTGGGTCCAAATGAAATAAGTTTGCGGTCAAGTTCTGTAAGAATTGGTTGGGGTGATTATGGTTTGTGGTGGCCAGCACGATCAAAATGGTTGTTAAGATCTCAATCCAGTCTAAATCAATATGGTTTACAAGCAGATGCTAAACTACGCTTTCTATCAATCTATGGAAGTTTACATGTCCAGCTGCCAGATTTACAAATTCGTGAATTTGTTGATGTTAATTATGCTGAACCAGTTTTCCGGGTCACTCTGTCTCTTTGTCGTTATTTAATTATACGACATCCTGAGGAGTTGTCACTTGCTCATCCGATTCAACAGAATGACTTCAAACATTCACGTTTTGCTCCAGGTTTTATTGATCGACGTTATCATACTATATCATCGATAGGTAGGCATGCTACATTTCACAGAAGCGCTACCATAAATACAACACATTCACAGTATAAAACATTATGTCGAGAATCCTTGTTCCGAATGAATGGTGTGAATAATACAAATGAAGCTGATAGACAGGATAGGGCTAATTCTGAAGGTGCATCAAGGAAGAGCTCCTCTTCATCAAGACAATCAGCACATCTTTTCGGCCCCCAAGAATCCGTGATAAACGTACACATTTCTATCCAAATTATCATCGATATTCACGTCCAGATTCTGGAAATTTCTCTAAAATCACCTACTCTGCAATCGCTTTTGATCTACGTATTCTAGATGATTCTTCGTTAGCATTCAGTCCAACTATGAGTGTAGAAGACGCTATACAAAAATGATTAATTGTTCGACCAAGTAATTATACTCAACGAGTTCGACTGAATGCAGCCTGGTTAGATTCATCTAAATCTCTTTTGGAACAGGGGATTGATGCACGTGGTTATCTATCGAAGTTGGATAATTTAAACTCTCCGCCAATTAGTCGACCAGCTTCACCAACTCATCTACAAAATGGTGATCATCAGAACAAACCAACTAGTAATTCTAACGTTGGCAATGCTAATACGAATGCTAACAATAATGTTAGTAAAGAGGAGGCTAAAAAACCTCCAACACTTTTATTACGCTATAAATATGGAACGTTTTATGATTTAAATATTAAATATGATGCAATTCGTATTAACCAGCTGTATGAACAAGCTAAATGGTCAATTATCTCAGAGATATTAGAAGTCACAAATGAAGAGGCCTGTTTATTTGCTGCACTACAAGCTCAAGCTGAACTGGCCACTGAACAAGAAGCCCTACTAAACGATGAAAATCTATCACACAGCCAAGAGATGAATGGCAACACCACAGCCATCGCCAATACCACAGCTAACGGTACAAATCAATTACTCGATAATCTGCTGGAGAAGAGTATTGCTGAGAACTGTAAGACAAATATGAAAAAGATAACATCAACAATGGTGATACACAATCGTGATATCTCTCCACTCGGCAGGTATCTACACACAGGTCGGCATATAAAAACACTATCTAGACCAATGAGTGCAGTAGAGTTGGATAGTGAAATCGATGCTATGCTTGAAGAGTTGTCAATGAATTGTCTAGAGAATACAGATGGTTGTCTACCATCAGATGGAATTAAGACACAGCATCGTTCAAGGCCAAGACAACGATCACCACGTCCATTAAGTCTGTTGGATAATATGGATGGGGGAAGTGACTTGTTACAGGATACAAATGACAGTGATCCTGGTCTACCAGAGTTGAACACTTATGTGAAGATCTGTAAGCCAAGGAAATTCGGTTTGAAGGTGTATCGTCGTTATTTTATGGCGGTTAAACGAACTGAACTTTTCGTTTACAAGAACAAAGACGACTACAAATCGGAAAGTGATGCAGCTGAAGTCATCTATCTACCAGGATGTGAAATTCAACCAGATCTATGTGTTTCATCAGAAAAATCAGAAATCACTGCATACTCCAGCCGATCAAAATTCACCTGATATATCTGACTACACTTCACAGATAAGACTGAGTAGTCATTCGATCTCTGTATATTATCAGGTATCTGAATTCGGTAAGAGGCTACAAATGCAGTGTCGTTCACATACCCACTGAATATTTGACTAGCTTTATCGTGAACATCATGAGTTACACTATTTGTCCGTTCGCTGATGATTTGATATTCTAATTTCACATGTCTACTGATGTAAGCATTGTCTTTGTAATCGCCAAGACAATGAATAACCAAGCTATGTCCAGTGTAGCCGTATACACTCCGATTGTTGAATGTTTGATTGAATAGTACTGAAGTAGGATGTGTGGAAGTGGGGTTGATGTTTTCATGTGTGATATGAATATTGTGCAATAAGTTATCGGGTAAAACAATTATTGTTCGTCTAGGTAATGTCCATTCTACAGGTGATTCCCACGATTTCTGAACGTTGACCCAATAGTAACCGCTATATATATGTCCTACACCTCTCCGAAATGCTTCAAATTGTCTCCTCGCCATCCGATGAACTGTCGTGCAGACAACAGATCCATAATCCAAATTTAGAAACGTCTGAATACGCAGTAGATGAACATCAGTCTCATTACAAGCCCTCCAATACAATTCCACATTCTCACCCGTCCTCAATATCCCTTGATACTTCACATTCAACTGAAGAACACGGTAGTCAAACAAATAGTCGTTGGTCTTCTCTGTGAAATCCGCATTCTGTTGCCTTCCAAACATATGATTTTCCACCCAACTCACAGCGAACTTCGTGAAGCGTTCCACGGCTGTTTCGTTGTCTATTTGACTACGGAAGATGGTGAACGCAACGAGCACTAGTGCGGCGTCCTCCGGTTGGATTGCACACAAATATGTCTGATTGTAGAAATTCTTACCATTAGTCAGACGCGAGTCTTCAGTTAAATGCTGCCTCAGAAATCTGGAATGTCGGTCTAGCTCTTCATGATGGATACAAACACATGTATCTGCGATGTATTTATTTCCAGATCTACTGATCAACAGGGCATTCGTCCATCCCGTTGGAGGACCTATTCGCGAGATGAAGTTCACCTCTAATGGTCTATCCAGAATTGGTTCCTTCATCTTATTCTCCTCAAAACTTTTACTGTTCACAACAGATGCACGTGCGTTTCTCAGTCCCTCAGTCACACTCCTCACTGTCGTCTGTATGTGATTTGAAAAGATTTTCGGCTCCACTCGAGTGTCTATCATCAGAGTTTCGTAATTGGTCAGCACAACTTTCCTGTCGCTGGTACAGTCTGGGTTGAAGCTTACCTCACAAGATACATTGAAGTACAGACCGTGAGATGGGGTGGCTGCAACTCCCACTCTCATGGAATGAATCCACTGAATCTCGTCAACTAGTGAAAGCTTTTTGACTGGGAGAGGTGAAGTTTGCAGTTGCGTGCCATGAGACGGTTTGTATGTGAATCTTACATTCGGAGTTTGAATTATGTTACGTGATATCTTGTAGACACAGTAGACTACTTTGTCTTGATTCGGTTTGACAGATGGATACTGTTCGGCAGTAGTCTGCTTGAATGCCTCTGAATCATAGTCAGGTATCTCAAGAACATCGTCTGTGAAGAACACGTGTATGTCCTGATTTCCGGAGGGAATGACTTCGAGAGTCACCACTGCCGTTTCAACAGCTGGACATGATGGACACTTTCTCGATGAGCAGAAATACACCCCCGAATCTCTGTATTCCGCCGATTTCCTGTCAATCACAACAACACTGTCTGAAGGAATGTATGTCGTCTTGAATGTGTCATCCAACTCTCTCCTCTTCTCATCACCGAATTGTGACTGTGTGTAACACTTCATATTTCCCACTTGTCTCTGGTATACAGTTAGCTGGAGATGTATATTCTGATGGAGTCTCGTGGCGACCTTCGAACACAGATTGAGTCGGATTATCCTGTCAGTAGCAGATGAGTACGACTTCACCTCTCGCGTACTTCTGCCAGACTTCTCTTTGTTCAGCACACTCTCCACAGTTCTATGCAAGGAACTGACAAAATATTCCACTGCATCCGGTCCTTTCGTGTGATCTGGATCAGTATTAACCAGAGCGAAGGCCAATCCTATGTGACTTGTCTGCACCCAACAAGAGAAATTGAACTGGAATGCACTCAAACCCTTGGCAGATGGATACTTCGAGCCATATACACGTGCAAACTGCTCATTCGAATATCTGGATTTCGTCAGGTCACAATCGTGCTTGTATATTTTTCTGTGACTATACTGGAGTAGCCAGACTAGAGACAAAGTATCGACCGGATCGATCAATCCAAGAAATGTTCCACTCAAATAACCGACACTGATGTGAATAATGGACTCCTCTTGGAGGAGGCGGTGAACCCCTCTGGAATTAACCGAATTTCGTCTGAAGAATTCATTCACTTCTTCACTGTTGGTCACAATCGACTCATCAACGATGATCGGTGTTAAAACCCATGACGTCAGTATTTCCATCGACTGTGATAACCGAATTTTCGAATCATCGATCTTCGTCTCATACACATCGTCGTGTAGTTTTTGGTGATGATGTGTACATGTGATGTTCTGATGCGTTACCTGGTGTAGAATCGGTTGACCGTGTATCTCATAGGAATATGTGTGCCAGTCGTAGTCATTCATTTCTCTGAGATGTGTACCATACACCTTGTAAGGAAGTTCTTGACTGGCTGTCTGGTTCATAGCATCAATATTGGTGTAAGTGAATGAAATATCAGGATTGTGAATTATTGAGTGGACTAGTGCAAAGTGACAGTTCACTATGATGCGTAAGGCCTTCCTCACAACAAAGATACCGAATACATCATAGAAATAGTTATCCGTCTCACTGGGTAGCATTGTGATGTTAATTTGAAGACTTTTGAATGTCGGAAGAACAATAACACGATAATAACGCTGATAAATTTTGCCATCACTTTCCAGTGTGCATTGATAATACGGTGCTGTTTTAGTCTGTGCTGATCCCACATGTAAATCGACGAGTGGCTTGGAACTGACCATTGACAAATCTGCATATTGTTGAGTTGGTTTCATTGCTGGCTCGCATGTTGTACCTGTTGGTACAGGAAATGAAATAGTTTCTGAAATGTTGTGATAAATCTTTGATTTCAAATTTACTGCAAATAATCTATAATCGGTGTCGAGATCTTCAGTTAGGTAAATGTCGAATTCTTTCTCATTTATTCTATCGTAGAGAATAGAAATCTGGTGACGTAGATTCCTCTTAACAGTATCCATATTTTGTGTCGTGGTTGTGTACACCACCAATATTCCTGAATGATTAATGTCACAAGTGATGAATGCTGTTCTTATGTACTGCGAATAACTCCATATCATCTGTATACCTTCGGTGAATCCTATTGCATTTTCACCTCCGTCCATTTTCAAATAACTCTGAGGATCACATTCTTTTTCAGTATCTTTTGTAAAGAAGGATGCCTTCATCTCGAATCCAGGTGGTAAAAATATTTTGAATTTAACGTACAATCTTCCTAGTCGTAGCATTTTAACAGGAGAACTAAATATTTCATCTTTATGATAGACCTGTGTAGCTTTGTGCTTTGGGAGATAAGTGAAGAGTATATTTCCTGAAGAGTCTTTCAAAAATTCTCCATCAACCTCATAATGTAATTTTATCGGTTCATTGGCTATTTCACTGCACGATTTAACATTATGCGTTAACGGCTGGAAATAATAAACTTCACCTATACGGGTGTTTAGCAATATTATTAATACAGCTTTGTTCACATCAATATATTTCGTATCTACCCATAGGCGAAATAATGGGCCAAATTTATTATAAATTTCGCAGTACAACTGTTAAGTAGAGGTCGATATGACAACCTCTTACAGCAACCAGCATTTGGTAGACGACATTCCCACCATGGTGATTTTTCATCGGTTCGTTCTAGAGAAACATAATATGGTAGTGCATACCTATCAATTCGCAAATAAATTACATATGGTTGATTGTTTTCCAAGTGGTTATAATACACAATATATCGGTGATAATAGTCTTTCAAACGATCAGGCTTTTTAATGTGGATCCCAACAGCCTCAGCAATATTTAGTAATCGAACTCTTAAGGCGAAGTTGAGATTTGTTGGTATCCGATAAATAACTCTGAAAGCTTGATTAACATCAATCCTGTTTTATTCATATTTATGTACTGAAGTGTGTCGTCAATTCGTATGATTCGCTTTGATAAATTTCTATTGTGTTTAGTGTCAACTGACTTTTCTAGGGAAGCTAGTAAACAGCATCACGGTGGATGTCGACCTGCACTGAGACGAACACTGCACCGTTCACATCGTACTACTGTCGGTGGCACAGTGGTCAGGACATTCGCCGACCATGCACATGATGCGAGGTTCGAGCCCACGCCGACGCACACCTGATATCTATGGTTGGCCTGCGAATTTTGCGCTTCCGATATCCACGCTGAAAATTCCATACTTGTATCAAAAATACGGTGTGGAATCAAGCTGTAATCATAAAAAAATAAGTTTTTGTCATAATCAATAAATTTAACCGTTCTCCACCCCACAAGATCATATATCTGCAATGTCTCTTATCCTTTTATACTTATCAGAAAATTTTCATAATCAAGCCAGACAAAATGTTGCCTCGAACGCTTTATGGTAGCAGTCGGATCTCACAAAACGGTTTCACATTATTCATACAAGATCGGCCTTTTTCAAAAAGCAAATGTGGTGGTGGTCAGTTGGCAACAAGGTTTCATATTAAAGTTACTCTGCTGCCTGCCTCTCAGATCTGTCAAAGTTTGCGAATAAATTCACTGATTTCACAATTTCCTATCTTGGGAGCTATCTCTCAAAAGCAACTGGCTACTTGGATTCTCGTGACTGTTCCCCCTTTGAATCAGTGGTTCACGTGAGCACTGTCAGAGTTTCCACACTACTCGACAAAACACCTGATTCTGTGCACACTCAATATGCTGGA